AAGGAGTTTGTAGACTGGGTTACACTCATTCTTTTTTTCTTTTGTGACAACTATGGTTAAAATTTTCATCAACCTAAAGGATATAAAGATTACATAAGCCATAAGCAGGAGAACAAAGCTTAGTTAAAGTATATTGCAACCTTTTGTTTTTCTACCATAAAAAGGAAGTTTGGCTTCCCTGTTTCTAGTCCTTTTTATAAGCAGAAGAGAATTAATTGCATCTTATATCTAGTCATTCTGAAATCTACATTTTTCTTACATCATAGGAAATAAGCCATGATTACAGCTTATCTAGTAATCAGATAAAGCTTTAAATTTTAGATCATTGCAATTCATACGCTCCTCTAATTTATGAACCGTGTTCCATTTGAGAGGCTGATAATAGATTTAATATAAATTGATAAAGCAGAAATAACACCTTAATGTTCTAATGGATGTCTTACTAGGAATATTGTTCAGATTCCCAATACTCAAGTTTTTTGTGTTTTTTTAAGCTGAGTTTTTAGCACATTTTTTTCTCTTTTTTTTAAATCTTTTTTTTTATTAGGGGCTCATACAACTCTTATCACAATCCATACATACATCAATTGTGTAAAGCACATTTGTACATTCATTACCCTCATCATTCTCAAAACATTTCCTCTCCACTTAAGCCCCCGGCATCAAGTCCTCCTTTTTCCCCTCCCTCCCTGCTTCCCCCTCCCTCATGAGCCCTTGATAATTTATAAATTGTTATTTTGTCATATCTTGCCCTGTCCGTTTTGTGACTAGAAGATTGCGTATGTTTTTTTAAAGTTCACATAAATATGAGTTAAAGAAGTGTATACTGGTACTGTGGGTAAGTTCTCAGCTTCTAACTGCAAAATCGGTCGTTCAAATTCACCAGCCGTTTCTTGGGAGAAAGGTGTAGTAGTCAGCTTCAATAAAGACCTTGAATCAACTTGAGTGCAACGGATTTGGTTTTGCCTTGGAGAATCATCTGGGAAGTTTTATCAAATGGTGTACTTAATCTCTATGCATTTAGCTGTATATAAATTGCAGCTTAATAATAAAATAGACATCTGTAACTTTAAGCCCCAAATAGTTACATTCATTTAGTTTAAGGGAAAATTCAAGAAACAGATACTTTCAGGCTATTTAGCTATTGCTTTGTGCACTTACTTATAAAAAATATTTTTATGCCGTTACTTCAACTAATATTTGATCATAAAATCTGTACCTGGGGGCTGTGTATAGAAGCACTGAACCAACTATGCTTCCCACATAACTTGTTCCTCACCATTAATGAGGTAATGAATTAAAAGTAATTTTGAAGTTTACTTTTATGTCAAAGGATTGCATGAAAGTATTCACTTTTTGGTGTCTGCATGGGCTTTTCTTTGTTCTCTAATCATGGCTAAAGGTTTGCTTTTGATTAACTCTCCATGGCAAACCTCTCTGAGGAATGACTCCTGGGTTGCATTCAGGATCCAATACTTAAAGGATTTAAAAGGGACAGTGGGACAATGACCTTTACTACTTGCTCTGACTTTGAAGACTGATCTTACTCAGTTTGGGATTTTAACATATGTCCTATGTTGTTGAGGAGTCCATATTTACCTAGATAAAATAACATATAAATCTTCATAAATGCAAAATGAATTGAAGCTCAAAAGTTTTAAGGAATCTTAACATCTGATAAAATGTTGAGCTCATATAAGTACATGACACATGCACAATGCTTTTACTGCTGATAAATTGACAAAGAAGGTCTGTCCATAAGGGATGGAGGGTCATGTAAACAACAACAACAAAAACTCACTGTCTTTGAATCAATTCCAAATGATTGCAACTCTATGGACCAGTGTAGAACTGCTCCTGGGAGGTCCTGAGATGGTAACTCTTTAACAGAGTAGAAAGCCTCATCTTTCTTCCTGCGTAGTGTCTGGTGATTTCAAACTGCTGATGCTGTGGTTAGCATCCTAATTGGTAGCCCACTACACCACCAAGACACCTTTTAAGTCATACGGAGAGGGGGGGAGGGGAGTGATTGGATCATACCTTCAAGGTATGATTACAGAAAATATAAGATAATGGCATAGGATCACTTAATGTGTCTGATCTTAGTTTTTCATGAAGATCAAAGAATAAACCTTTGAAATGGTTACCTTTACACTGTAATACAATTTAAACTCGAATAAAGTATTAATGATGTCTGAATCATGTTTCCCCAAATCCAAACCTGTTGACCCTGAATTGGCTTAGACGCATAGTGATATTAATAGGGCAGGGTAGAACTTCTTCCATGAGGTTTTCTAAAGCTGTTATATTTACAAAAGCACATTTTCACATCTTTTGCCTATGAAGCAATTAGAACTACTGACCTTTCAGTTAGCAGTCTAGTGTTTTGACTACCAGGGATTCTTAAAAAGAAAAGAAAATCTGTTTAGATTCCATATGATTAAATTCATCAAAAGCACAGTCCACTAATCAGAATAGAATTGGATTCAAATACTTGTTCCAAATCTTGTGCTTATACTGAACTAGCTGTGTGGTCTTTAGTGATGTGCCTATCTTCCCTAATATTCAGTTTTACAATTTGTAAACTCACAAAACATGATACCTGATTCAAAGACGGAATTAGACCTTGTGAATAAGGTGTTTCACAAATGTGTTGTTGCTGTTGTGTGCCAATGAGACAGTCCCAGTGCAGAGTAACCCTATAGAATAAAGTACAACTATCCATAGGGTGTCTTAGGCTGTATTCTTCATGGGAGCAGACAGCTTAGTCTTCTTTTCTTTGGGGCCTCTGATGAGTTCAAACTTCTGGCCTTTCAATTAGCAACCCAGAACTTTTAACCACTGCACCCATAAGGGTCATTAATTTATGATAACACCTATAATGGATTAGGAGCTCTGGTGTGATAGTAGATTAAGTGACTACTAATCACAAGGGAAGTGGTTCAAACCCACCTGCCACTTCATGGAAAAAAAGATGAGATTGTCTGCCACCAGAAAGACGCACAGTCTTAGAAATCTTAAGGAGCAGTTCCACTCTGTCCTATAGGATCACTATGAGTCAGAATTGATTCCTGTGGGTTTTTATAATGTATAGTCAATATTGTCTTTGAAATTTTAAATGAAGGATATATATATTTTTTGCCATAAACTTACTAGACTTTGTTCCAGCCCTGTGACCTAAAAAAAATTCCATTGACTCCGTCAACTCCAACTCATGGTGATTGTATGTATGTTTGAGTAGAACTGGCCTTCAAAGAGCTTCCAGTGGCTGAGTTTGTGAAGCAGATCACAGGCTTTTCTTTCAAGGCATCTCTGAGTGAACCTAAACCTCCAACCTTCTGATTTACAATCAACTCCATCGCCCAAATACATCATCTTATGATTAGAGCTACTCAAATTAAAGGTAACTAACATAAAGTATAATTATTGATCACTAAAAAATATTTTTAGTTCAATTTGTGACAGGTATTGCAACAATACCGGAAGAACATATAATCTGGTGCCTGTCCTGACAAAGAGCTATTCACATAAAATCCATTGTTGTTATCATTGTTGTTAGGTGTCCTCGAGTGAGTTCTGGCTCATAGTGACCTATGTACAATACAAGACAACATTCCCTGGTCCTGTGCTAACCACCTTGCTGTTATGTTTCAGCCCATGTTGCAGCCACTCTATCAATCTGTCTCATCAAGAGTCTTTTTGACTGACTTTCTAGTTCATTCGTCATCATGTTGTTTCCCAGGGACTGATCTCTCCTGATAACATGTGAGACAACGTCTCTCCATCATTGATTCTAAGAAGTATTCTGGCTATATTTTTCCAAAATTGGTCTGTTTGTTCTCTGGTTTTCACAATTAAAAAAATAAGAAGAATCAATCAGTTGTCACCTAGGTCCCTTATGGTTGCTTTATAAAACTCCCAGAAGTGGCCAAGACGGACATTCTAATCCATTTACAAGAACAAACTCAGAACTCACTGCTGTGTGGTCAGGTCTGATACACTGCAACCTTACCGCAAAGGTTAGAGCCGCCCTGGTCGGTTTCTGAGACTAAGTCTTTACGGGACTTGAAAGCCTCATCTTTCTCCCGTGGAGTGGCTGGTGCTTTCCAACTGCTGGCCTCGCAGTGACCACGATGCCCAATGAACCGAATAGCTTAAAGAGGAAAGACTAGCTGTCGGTAGAGGCAATGAAAGAGCACCTTAAGTCATCTCTCTGGGAAATGAAGCGAAAACCACTGACCAGTGGGGTTGTTCTGATTCAGTATACAGAGTAGAATGTGTTCCCTCGGGCTTACAAGTAAGTGGTCTCTCTGAAGCAGACCGCCAGGCCTTTCTTCGAAGGCATCTTTTGGTTCATATTCCAGAGCTTCAATAGTTGCACTACCCTGAGGCAGGGTAAAGAGAGGGCCCATGAAAAACCACTGGCCTCTTTCTTTTCAGGGCTTGAAACTTTAGGAGAGAAAACAAAAAAAACTACACAAAAACCGAGCAAAGAGCTGCACCCCAGACCACCTAAGTGCTAATATCAGGGCGGAAAGAACAGTGACAGTCAGTATTGGCATCTTTGCTAGAGAGCCCTCTGGAAGTTTGGAGCCCTGGGGAAAGAATATACGGTTCGTGCTATTGGCTCTGCATTTGAAGTACGTAACTACATGACAAATAAACGCCCTCTCGGATGCATCCCTGGCCCAAGACTGCTCTCCCGGAGGCAGGAGGCAGCGTCCGCTGACGCCGCGCAGGCGTGGCCCCGGGGGCGTGGGCGGGGCGGGGCGGGATGGGAGGGGGTGCACAGACAGCAGCCAGGGAGGAGTTTGGCGTGATTGATGGGAAGGGATAAATGAATAAAGGTCCTCGTTTAGCGACAGCAGATGCCCTCCGCGAGCCGCGCGGGTCGCAGTGCCCGGCGTTCTGGTTCTGGCCGCTGCGCGGGCCGCGAAGGTCGCCCAGGAGCCGCGCGCCCCCGCGCCCCCGCGCCGTCCACCTGGGGAAGGTCCCGACTCTGGTCGCCGGCGTCCGGTGAGCTCCATCCTCCAGGGAAACACTCGGCTTGGGTTTCAAGTCAAATCCGGGGGCGGACCCTGTCCGCCGACTTCTTTGGTAGTTGGTGTGGTGGGAGTTTTGTGTTCGTTTTGGAAAAGCGGAGAAATGCGACAAGTGAAAGTGAGGTCGAGGTAAGGGAGATTGCGTGTTTCGAAACCATCTGGGGATGTAGATCCCCCGCTCCGGCTGGCGTAAGAGGCTGAGGTTTTCGGGGAGCCCCGGCAGAGCGGCGTGGCTAGGTCTGGAGTTTAGGCACAGGGTATGAGGAATGGGAAGCAATGTCCCTGCAGAGGTCGGTCGACTCTGGGGGCCAGGTGCCTTCATACCCGGTCCCCATGCACCCTTAGCCACCGCACGAGTTTCCCCAGCCGGCTGTACCGCTAAATTCAGACGTTTTCCCTCTAATTCCCATTCTCTGGCACCCGATTTTCAGACCGCCCTACCCAGTTGCTGGTGATTTCCTCCTCTGCTGGACCCGCGGGAGGAAAAGGGTGGGCGGAGGGACAGGAGACCCCGGGGTGGGTCACGCGCAGTACTTCCCCACGCCCATCACAAACGTGAACTGCTTTTGCTTAGGGTGCTGGAGGCAAGACTGATCTGCATTTGAGGTCTGCAGAGAGGGGGCTGCAGTGGCTGACCTGCGTGTCCTGCCTTCCTTCCCCTGTCCATCCCCAGGCTCAGAATTCTCTCGCCCGCTTCAGCCGGCAGCAGCATGAAGTTGCCGCCAAGCCTGTGCGGAGGCGCCCTGTTGGCGCTGCTTCTTACTTGTGGCATCCCTGGGGTCTGCGGAGAGGAGAGGCGATTTCCACCAGGCCAGGCCACACAGCCACTTCTGGGTGACGGAGAGATCATGACGCCCCCCACAAGGACCTCTGGGCCTGGGATGTCCAACACCAGCCTGCCAAGGTCGTCAGCATCTCCACAGGTGCCTCAAGGAGGGAGGACAGCTGCTGGCCGGACTCGCTCTCTTCCTCCTCCCCAGTGCAAAAGGCCGACCGAGATCAAGGACACTTTCAAGTATATCAATACAGTAGTGTCATGCCTCGTGTTCCTATTGGGCATTGTCGGGAACTCTACCTTGCTGAGAATCATTTACAAGAACAAGTGCATGAGAAATGGACCCAATATCTTAATTGCCAGCCTGGCTTTAGGAGATTTGCTGCACATCGTGATTGACATCCCCATCAATGTCTACAAGGTAATTCATGCCTGCTAAAATTGGGCTTGAGTACAGGAGGGGGATCAAGTACAGATGGTATGATGAAAGAGTCTTAGGAGAGCTTGCTTAAGAATATTCATCCCCTCCTGAAAGTCAGAAATCATCCCAATGAAATTCTCTTCAAGTTGCTCCTTGCTATGTCTGGAACCCCAACCAACGAACAATAGTTGCCAGTAAAGTTGAGTCCGAGTCATGGTGACCTATGTGTCCGACTCTAAGTGTGCTCCATAGGAATTTTCATTGGTTAATTATTTAAAGCAAATGACTAGACATTTCTTCCAAGATCCCTTGAGAAAGGGGAGCATGTTATCTGTTCGGATCAACCAGGGACTCCAAACCTAGAACAGAGCTTTTCCAAGTATGGTCCCCAGACTAGCTCATTAGAATTACTGGACAATTAGAAAAGAAGATTCCATGCTTACGCAGACCTACTAAATTAGAAAAGCTGGAGGGGAGCCTAATACTTTGTATTTTCACCAGTTTTTCAGGTGGTTGTGATGAACTGTGAAGTTTGGGAACCACTGACCCAGAAAAAGCTAATCCTTACATCCAAGGAGCCCTGGTAGCTTATTGGTTAAGCATTGGGCTACAATCTGTAAGGTCAGCAGTTCAAAACTACCAGAAGCTCCATGGGAGAAACACAGGGTTGATACTTTAGTGAACATTTACAGTTTCAGAAGTGCACAGGGCAGTTCCACCCTGCTCTACAGAGTCACTATGAGTTGGCATCAATTAGATGACAATGAGTTTGGAGTTTAAGTCCAACCAGTATTGACAGCATCCAAAAGTGTGTTTGAAATGCAAGTTCATCCCAGACATATTAAACCTAATTTTTCATGTTCAGATACTCAGGTTATTCCCACTTTGGGAATCAGGAGGCTTGAATAGGATTTTAGAAAATAAATAACATGGCAGAAAGAAGCCTAGACTGGTGAGTTCGTGCATAACACAGCCTGTTTTGCTGCGAATAACTGTGGTTAGGTACTCTTTGTTGAGTGCTCATCTTGGACCACACACTAAGATGGTGTTACTTTCTTTACTCCCTCCAGAAACTCATACGTAAGTCACTACATTTTACAGGTGACTTATAATAAAACACTCCAAGTTTCACAACCATTAAGAGGCAGAAGTGGGAATTAGGCCCAACTCCTGTATGTCCCATTTAATAATATGCCATGAATAACTTAGTGAACAAGGTGAAAAGACTCAACTTAAAGTCTGTCTAACTGTTTCAGTGTGTGATTACCACAGGCGGCAGACAGAAAACGCCACACTATTGGGCTCCTTGTCACTTTGGAACTCCAAATGCATACAAGCATACCCACTTCCACAACTCTACAATCAGCCTCCTAATGCCCATCCACTGAGGTTGTGTGGGGTTTAAGGAAAATCGTCTAAGTGAAAGAGCTGAGAAGTTCTAGAGGACTATAAGGCACACTGCTGGTGGTGCTAGTTCATTGTTGAACTTCTAACAGTGAAGTTGACAGTTCAAGTGCCCTAGCTGGAGGAAAAATGAGCCTATTTGCCCCCAGCTTCAGAAACCCTGTATAGGATCGGAGTCTACTGCAGTGGTCTCTCTCCTACAAACTTGTTAAACTCTGCTTCCACTTCATGATCAACAACAGGATGTTGCACACACATTAAAGATGACTGAAGTATAAGACAATGGAAATGTGCTTTATAGATTTACCTGAAGTCAGCTATGGGCTCACCCCAAGGGTAAACAAGTGTATGGGCCAAGGGGAAGTAGCAGTGGACACTTTTATCTTGGTCGCACGAGCAGTTGCCATTCCCACAATAACTGTAAATTGCCCTTTTGAATCTCTGGAAACCAGAATCCTAATAGCAGTATTTTAGAGGAATTCCAGAAATCTCTAAGGAGAAGAGATTAGGATTAGTATCTAGGTCTGAGAAGGAAACACTTGCAGAATTATGGAATGATTTGAGCAAATCCTAAAATCCTTCATGGTAACGAATTATGATGAGGGTTTGCAGGAAGAAAGACAGGTTGAAACAGGTCCTTAGACTATAGCACAACTCCATCAGGGCCCCACAGTGACCTTTGTATGCAAACCTTCAGACTAAATTGTACCACTCCAATTTGGCAGATGAATTTAACGAATCAAACTGAATTGAAAAAATTTAAGTATAAAGTGTTATGAGAATTTTTTAATAAATAAGATACTTTATAAAAGGGAGGTTTTGCTAGGTTTTATGTAGAATTTTATTGTGAAAGATCTGTTTAGGGAGGCCCCAGGAAACCCAATAAATCCAGCCAGTCTAAAACTTTCCTAAAACCAGCTAACAGCTGACGTGTTTTGTGGAAGATACCAGATGAGAAAGTTGTCTTTTGATGTGCTGAGCTTCCTGCTAGATATAAATCAGCCCTCCTAGGGCCATCTTACTTTCTCTATCTGATCAAATTCTTATACTCATGCTTTTTTTCCCACCCCCAAGTCCTTTCTGTTTCCCTGGGAAGTTGTTTCCTTCTTCTCGAAGCCATTCCTTGTTAAAGCTGTGTTTACTTCTGAAATGAACCAAGTGATGAGGAGGAAATGCACATCTGACCATCTGATCATCTAGTCTGCTCATCAGCAGATTAATCACTGAGCATTCGCTCTTTGCCACGTTAGGCTTATTTTTATGACAGGCGTCAATATATATTACTGGAGGCATGGTAATGCTGTCGCCACGGGACACTGAGTCAGGGCTGACTCACACTCACCACGTGAGAGAGTTGAACTGCCCCATAGGATTTCCTAGGCTGTTCTCTCTATGGGACCATATCACCAGGTCTTTTCCCCTCGGAACCACTGGTGTTTCAAACCACCAACCTTTGGGTTGGCAATCAAGCCCTTAATCATTGCACAGCCCACTCACTGCCATCAAGTTCATTTTAACTGGTAGCAAGCCTTCAAGACAGAGTAGAGCTCCTCCCTAGGGTCTTTCGAGACTATAAATCTTTCCAGGGAAAAATCAGACTCATTTCTGTCACAGAGCCGCTGGGGGTGGGGGGAGGGAGTTAACTGCTGACCTTGTGATTAGCAGTCTAATGTTTAACCCACTGTGCCACCATGGTCTCTTTTTTGAAACCAGGATTCCTTACTATAATACTCATCACTACCATTTATTTAGTCCCAAGTGTAGGGTTTATTTCACTAAATCATTGAAACAACCCTATAGGGTGATATGGTTCGTATCCCTCTTTAAGATCTAAGGAAACTACATGTTTGAGAGATCAAATTATTTGCCCAATGTCCCACCACCAGAAAGTGCTGAAGCTAGTACTTTGCCCAGTGCCCATTCCCCTGTACTGACCATGGGTATGCATGACATCTCCTTCTCCAGCCTTAAGATTGTCAGCATCTCAGTTAAGTATAATAGAAGAAGCATATGACATGAAACACAAAAGGCTACTTACTAACATTTCCAAGAATTAATTTAGGTCATCTGAAGCTTCCTCTTTCCTAAAATCTCCTTCAGATGGCCCATAGTGTAAAATACAAATATGTCCACAGATGTTATTGTAAAAAACTTGTTTGTCAAAACACCCAACACAGGACTAGTTGAATGCCATTTAAATTTATTAAGTGGGATGCTTGCATCTAATACAGTCATGTTTTATTATTTATTCACTTTGTGTGGAGTGTTACAATTCTCTGAGAATACAATGAGTGTTAGAATATTGCTGTTACAGTAGTGTTTATTCCAACAAATTGTGACCTTTTGTATGCAAAGCAGTTTTTTAAAGCTGTGACCTTTGGGATCATATTGTCAGGCTTTACTTCTGAAGCACCTCTGAATGAGCTTCTACTGCCAGCCTTTTGACTAGGAGTTTAGCGCTTAATCATTTCAGCCCCCAAAATGAGTGAATATTATACATATATAAAACTAATGTAGGTATACATATATATGAATGTTTTATGTACATTGAACATTCACACAAGTGCACACATATTCATGTATACATATCTTCACACATATCTGCATGGATTCACATGTATACATCTACACGAATGTTACACATATGGAAAACACCAAACAATTTCTGAGGGTTCATACCCAAACCCATCTGATCCTCATCTCTTGTTACCCTATGGACCTAGGGTCATTGAAATGTCACTGAAAATCTATGCCATTAATCTGGGTGTCAGGGAATCTAGAATCCTCTAATTTGACAGGCCACACAATTTCATATCTTTGCCAGAAGTCAGAATCTTTGAAACTGCTATAGAGTAGGCTAGGACTTAACACAGGGGTACAGCTGACAGACCTTGGGAAGTCCATGGCTGCAATAGATTGTCTGCCTCAAGGGAGAGTCAGTCCATTCAGTCAGTCAGTCTCCTTTGTAAGGGGAGCAAGTCCTATATTACAAACCATTGAATTGCCTTAAAGCACTCATTACAGTGAGGCTTTTGAAGCATTTCAATTATTCATGTAAAATGCTGAAATAAACCATATTTACTCTTCTCTTCAACACATACTAGGTCCATGCTAAAATGACACAAGACAACCCAGATGGAAAATTCTGGAATTCAACATGGGTATTGAAAAAATATATATTAATATGTGTGTATATGGATACACACATGGATATTAAATGCTACAAAATGTATGCATAAAGAATTATCACTTAGTATAATATCTGGTACATGAAAAGTAAATAATAATGTAAATTAAGTTTGTGTGTATTAATAAGAATGGAAAATTTATGTTTTGGGTTCATTTTTTTCTCATTAAAAAGATAATAAATAATATCTTTGCACATATGAGTATATGTGCCTTCATCTGAAAGTTATATTTCTAGAACTAGAATTACAGAATCAAACATTATATGCATTATGATTTTGACAAACACATATATTGAGCTCAAAAGATTTTGCTGCAAAATTGACTATATTATACACTTATACACTTCATGTAGGTAGACCTATATTCATGTATCTACCGTGCTTGGTAAACATCATAATGGGTGGAGA